ATAACATAAAGAAATAATCCAACCCCACCTTTATTTGACTCGCTTATCTTTACTCTATTTAAAGAATTTTTTTTTTTGAATAATTACTTAATTTTGACGAATTAATTGATATTTTGATATAATTAATATACTTTAAATTTAATATTACATAATTAACTTTTTAAAAAAAATTTCACATCAAATTAAAACAGATTAAATGAATTGAAACGAGACGATTATTATAGTATGGAAATGCTTAATGTATCACTTGGACAATAATAGCTTATAATGTAGATTATCATTAATCACAAATAATTAACAAGGAAACTAAGATCCAATTTATTTGATTAAATATAGAAAAACATAATACGAAGCAAAGTAATTTGATTTTGTCGGTAACATACCAAACATGAAAGAGTATTAATTGACTTATTAATTTTTATAATATAGTTTATTTTCATCTTCAAGAACAAAGAAATGAGCTGGCCATCAAATTAATGCTTAACATCTAAGCATTAATTAACCTTATTGTAGTTTATAGCAATTTGAATTATTGTTTATTTGTCACTTTCTTCCTTGCCCATTCCGTTACACATGGTGGAATTATAAACACAGATACGAATTTAAAATTTAAAATATAAGAAATTTTATAACAACACGAGACATGCTAGATTCATTCTATTTAAATATTTAAAATTGTAAAATCTACTTACACTAAGTGTTTAAATCAAATTATAGTATATTTATTACATTTAAGTAATGAATTGAAATGATAATATACACTAATTATGTATTGTTTACTTAGTAGTAAAAATATATGTAAAATGATATTTTTATTTATTTCCTTCATATAAATTTGGGCATTATTATTTTCACTTTTTTTTTTGGAATTTTGTATGCGTTATGGCTCGTATTATTATTTTAACTTTTTCCACTCGAATTTTATCAAATATTGTCCAAGTTGTCCGTTCGTACAATTCCTAATGCTTTGTCCTTTGAAAGAAATTTTTTATACCTAAATTCATTTTTTATTCTCAATTTTATACTGTATTTGATATCTATATTGGATCGGAGCTTTACGTTCGAATGTATACAGCTAAGATTCTATTTAAAAGAAAACGCTTCCTATCAAAATATTTATATATATAAAGTTTAAATCAAATATATTTAATTAAGAAAGAAATATCGTTATTCACACTGCGATCGCAATCTTTTGGTAATTTTCATACCCAAATTCTCTTGTGAGTTGCGTTTAGAATTTGGAGTTTAGGTCCATATCTTGCCAAACTAGGCCACAAAGAATAATACCAAAAAGAATTTATTAGCTGTCTTGGATCTTGTTTTTTCCCACCAATTTATGCAAATATTCCTTTTAGATTTTTGGAAATTTCCAAGTATTTTACTTTATGGAAAATACATATCCAAAAAAAAAATTGGCCAAAAAATATGGTCGATTTATCTGTATTTTTCTCGCTTCATATTACTTGATTCTAAATTTGACATGCTTTTCTAAAAACTTTAATGTTATTTTTATGTGTCTATTATATTAAAGATAAAAATTTATTTTATTCATTCAAATTGAAAAATTAAGTCATAATTTATTGTTTTATACCTATTTTATTATTGAATACTAGTATTTGTTTTAATATTTAAATGACTTATATTAATATATAAAATTATTATTTTATTTATTATTTTTAAGAATATGTTTAGTTAGAGTATATAGTATCCCTTTACTTTTATGTTCTTTTTTAGGTAAAGTTGAAGAAATATCTATTGTTCACTATTTATAGAAAAGTGGAGTGCACGAAAATTAAATTAAACGAAAGTTTTATTATAATACCCTTTAGTTTTACCCACGATTTTATGCAAAAATATTCTATTTTATATATTTGGAAAATCACTTTCCGTAATCTAATTTGATATTTATATTTCTTTTTGGAAAAGTGGAATGCACGAAAATTAAGTTAAACGTAATTTTTTCAAAATTAAAAAAAAATCTTTGAATAAACGTTAGATTTACACTAATACATGGAAAAAAAATTAATAAAAAATTGGGCATATCTAATGGAACCTAATTTATTTATTTTTTGTCAACAACCTTAATTAGCAAGAGATGAATAAATTTGACTTTAAGAAATGTTTTAATGTCAGCTCTTTTAGGTAAGGAAAAGACATATGGATTTATGGAATATTTTAACCAAAACAAATATGCTAAATTTAGTTGAGTAAAAATACAATCATAATTCAGATGACAAATAAATTTAAGAATTTTTATTTTAATCTATCATGTTGTTGTCAACCATTTTATATAGTTTGTCAAAGTATTATACTTTGCTACTTGAAAAAAAGGAAGTAAAATGTTGTAAATATATTTATATTTTGGATGTATATGTATTTTTTACAATTTATTGAAGCAAACAAATTACAAATAACTTATAAAATCGCTCAAAAACTCGTAACAGTTTTCTCTTATAGAGTTTTCCTAAACTAGCGGTCAAGCTAGAAAACTTTGCAATTCAATTCAAGAAGGTACCTTGCCATCAACTTCTTTAAAAGTCTCGTGGTGAAAAGCTAAATAAGTTTAAATTAAATGTTATAGCTATAATTTATTTTAATCGTAATTCACAGGAAACATTTATTTTTTTTGCCATCTGATTTGATACAATTAGTCATTTTATACATTTTGGTGTAAAATGTATAAAATGTGTTTTTGTGTGTAAAGCGAGAGAAAAGTGTATATACAAGCATATATAATTTCGTCCTATACACTTATAATTATATAAAATACATATCTTATATACAAATTATAATGTATAAATATATTTATAGAAAACTGAGCAATTTGTATAAAACTAGATGTCTCTAGCGAATTATACAAATTAAAAACTTAATAGCAAATAATATTTTTTTTATCGAACGCAATTATACAAACTATAATTATAATATACAAATATAATTTTTATATTTGTTTATAACAGTTAGGAGAAAATATAATATTTTTTTTCTATAACATGATAGTCAAGGACCCAATACGGAAAAAACTCACTAGAAATGAAAAAAACAAACAATGAGTTGAATCATTCCAAAGAGAATATATGTGCATATACAAATTACGTCTTAATTTCAAAAAAGATATAATTCAATATTATGAATTTTCATTTTTAAATATTTTTCTACTTATTCACGTTGCAGTCCAATAACAACAAAAATGGTCAATTTTTTTTGTAAAATAATTCAGATTCCCCCTCAGTTAGTAGATAAGGTCGGATCTGACTCTACCATTATCAAACCAATTTAATTAGATTTGTTTTGATTAATGCTTAAAATATTTTTAAACATTAAAAAAAGGGAGAAAAAAGGATTCCAAATATATTTGAATTTGATCAAAATTGCTTAATTTTGGGAGGACCAATTACCCACATATACTATTTAAGTAAGTATATTTTAAAAGTATATACTCCTTCATTTTATAAAGAATTACCTGAATTGATTTGACATAAAATTTAAGAGTATAAATTATTATTTTTTGTATCTTGTGATCCTAGATTAAAGTTAGGTCGAATGTACAAAATTATCCTTTGATCTTCTATTCTTAAACATGCCACGTAAAATTGATTTTAAAATGTTATCAAAAAAGAAAAAGGTTATTCTTTTTGAAACAGACCAAAAAAAAAGTAGGTCATTCTTTTTAGGGATAATTGTATATAATAGCAAACTAATAACCTAAAATAAATAGAGTAGCTACGGTTTGATTTAATTGTGCTCCATAACAAACGTTAGCCAGAGTTTATCAGTCCCTTCTCTCCCAAAAATCTCGCTCGCCACTCTCCCATTCTCGATCGCCATTCTCCCTCTGCTCGCCTCTCTCGCTTTACACAGAAATGTATAAATTGTGTTTCCGTTTTGTATAAAGCGAGAGAAAATTGTATATACACATACAAAAACATATATCTTTGTGCTATACACTTAATTATACAATTTACAAATATTTTACTTCAATTCAATTGTAGACAAATACAATTTTTATACAAATATTGCAGCGAAAAAGGCCAACGAATTATACAATTGCAGTGAAATACAATTTTCTCTTGCTTTATACAACAAAATTGTATAAATTGTGTTTGTGTTTTTGTATAAAGCGACAAAAAGACATATATTTCTTCCTAACTTATAATTATGCAATATACATATATTTTACTTCGATTCAATTGTATGCAAAACAAAATTTTATACAAATATTGAAGCGAAATAGGCAGCGAATTATACAATTGTGCATTATACAATTGCAGCAAAATAGGCCTGCGAATTATACAATTATATATGTATAGCGAATTATACAATTTTATGTTTGCTATGGAGCACAATTATGCAAATTTTGCTATAACATACAAATATAAAAAAATTTGTTTGCTATATATGAAAATTGACCTTCTTTTTAAAACGGAGGTATATACTTACTTAAACAAATTACTACTCATGATATTCACATGAAAATATATTTTTCTTAAAAATATATTACTAAAAATTACGATGGTAAAAAATTTCCTCGTAAAATTATTTCTATATTATTACTCTTACCCGATACCAAACGACCTCGTTAATTGACTAACCCATATAGGTCCATACTACGACAAATCTGAAATCAAAACCAGCTAATCACGGAATATTATTTATATTACTATTCACAAAGTACCCCACCCCCACCACTTACAAAAAGAAAAAAATAAATAAATAAATCTTCTAAAACACACCACCAACACGTTTAAACATAAAGTTTCTAAATTAATTAAATAAAAATAATTTTTTTTTTAATTTAAAAAATAAAAATCTAGAGACGACCATAACTGCCCCACAAATAATTCCCACCCACGCGCCGACATTACATCATTTTACTCCACTTTCTCTCTCCTCTTTGTCTCCACTATATAAACCAACTCTTATCTTCCCTCTCTCCTCACTCAAAACCTTTTCAATTCTCAAATCTAAGCACGTGTATTACACGCATTCTGCGAATTTCTATGGAGAGCATGATGAGTAGAAAGAAGAGAGTCCGAGTTGAATCGGAAGAATCAGAATATAACTCACCGGAAGTGAAGAAACTCAAGGAGAATCTGTTGTACGATCTCACCGACGACGATGATAGCTCCGAGTTTTGCACCACGAGTCATGATTTCGATTCGTTCATGAAGAGTTTCGAAGAAGAAATTACAGCTTCTCCGTCACCGGCGAAGGTGATGGAGACGGAAGTGGTGGATTTGACGGCGGATTCTGATGAGTCTCAGCCGGAGTTAGGTTACCTTCTCGAAGCGTCGGATGATGAACTCGGACTTCCTCCGGCAACGGCGGAGGGAAGTGAATCGGTAGTCGAATTGATCGGAGTTTCACCGGATTCAATATGGGAAGTGGAAGAGAGAATTCCGAATTACGATTCGTTCGAATTGGGGATCGCTGATTTAGTGGATTTCAACACTGGTGTTTGTGAATACGTAGCACTAGATGGATTGTTTGATCATTCGGATCTTGGTTTCGGGTCACCCGATTTTCTATGGAGACCCGAGACGTTACCGGCAAACTAGGAAGTGTAAATCTTTTTTTTTTTGGGGTTTTAATCTTCTTTTTAATTATTAATATTATTTAATTTAAATATTAAAAAGCAAGAACAGAGTATACAAATTTCTGGATATTAAATTTTGAACCAAAAGATAGTGGAATTTTATATTTATGAAATAAATTATAGAATTATCGGTTAATATTGATTTTTTTTTAATATATTAGAAAAACATGTTTTTCTTTGCGGTAAACATATTCACAAGTATTAAATAGCTCAACGAATGGGTTTCTCGATGCTGATCTCTATTCCTAAGGTTCATACGAGGACGTTATGTCATCACATGCCCCCATTTTTTTTAAAAAAAAATAGAGTTTTGATCGACTTTTTGTGTATATGCATGAACACAAATATATAAATATAACATTTTTTATACATCGAAGATGAAATTAATTACGAGATTGACAAACAAAATTAAGAGTTGCTCAAGGCACCACGACACTTGACACAACGATCAAGTCAAATAAAACGATATTATTTTTAACTCATTCTTTATCTTATGTGAGTATAAATAAGAAGAAATCTAACATGTTTACGAGTGTAGTTGGGCATCCCATCATGAGTCTTGACCATTATTTAATAGTGTAGTTATTACATGTTTAGGGCATTTAAAAATAGGGGGAAAATTAATGTTTATTAAGAGAAAAAAGTATCCATTCCACATAAACTAAATATTATATATCATCAAATTGGATTTATTGCACTCTATTATGTATGGTAATTTGCTTAGTGTATATTGAGTTACGTAGAGTAATATTTCATATAGAACGGTATATTTTTGAAAAATTCCTTCTAACAGAATCAGTCACATTATGTGTAATAACAAAATATGAATTTTCTAAATTGCCTTTTGACATTTTTTAGCAATGTCAGACTAAGATTTGGTCTTCGTTCCGCATTTAGGGATAAGACTTGAGACTTGAGTCTCATGTTTTGAATGTCTCAAAGCTCGATTTATTGATCTCGATCACGATCAAGTGGATCATTTAAAAATATTTTTCGATTCGTGGTAAGGTGGACAATTAAGATAATTGGGTCATCTTATGAGAAGCATGGCCCAACCCACTTAAAACCAATTTTAGCCCAATTCATTTGTCCAAATAACTTTTGAACTAATCTTTGTCCAACCCATATATTTTGTTGTAGATCCATTGTGGATGGGCTTTTTCTCTTTATTTCCATGCACAATTCTTAAGAAAGTTTAATGAAGAATTTTTTTTTTGGCAATTCCTCTTGATCCAAATATTTTACTTAGATGTGATAAAAAACTCTTTGTAGATAATTAACTATCACATTCAAACCAAAACTTGAAGGCCACTATTCAATATGTCAATTTGAAATATATCAATAAAATGAGTTGAGACATGTGTGTATATATATTCTAAAGAGGGAAAAATTGTAACAATATGTGTATATTAATATATGTATATATTATACACTAAATATACCTTGATTAATGTATTATAGACATATTATAATAAAAAAACAAAAAGAATGAGTGTGAAAGATTAAATGGCTATGATGAGTACTGACAAAAAATGTATATAATGAAAGGTGCATCTATTCTGTATCTAACACATATACTATATGCAGTGTGTGTATATATATAGTGTATAATGCATATATAACTTATAACATTTACATATAAAAAAAAGAATTAATATATAGATTTTTGTATACAAAGTAAATATCATGCTCTCATATATATATATATATATATATATATATATTCCTAATCTTTCTTTCCCTTTTAGATCTTATAATTTTAGGTTAGGTGGGTAGACTTGAAGGTGCATGAGGCTATTACAAGGGTGGATGAGTTTGATATATATCACCACAATTTCATCTCCAACTACAAAAATAGCACTATATTAAATCTCCATCATAATTTATGAATTTCATTTATTCCTAAACCAATTGATTTATGTTTTTTAAGCCCTGATAAAATTGGAATAAATAAATAAATACATCAAAAAAGTACAACGAAAAGAATTGTTAATAGAGAGAAAATTATTAAAAACACGATAAATTATTAATTTCATACTCAAATAATTGATAATTTTAAAAATATCCTATCGCGATTATATATAATATAAGTCCTGCGTATAACAAAAATCTAGCTAGCTGATCCTTTCCTTCATTCAGTCTTCAACACCTACTCCCAATCTTTCTCCTTCGCCTTTCACCACACGCGCTACCCAAACTACCCAAATCCTTATCGCGTGTCTTACACGCACATATCATACGCGTGAAAGTGTCTCCTCAGTTATTAAATATATAAAAAGGCCTGTACTCTTTTAACTCTTTACTTGCACCTTACGGTCCTTTCTACATTATTCTTCCTTCACCGTTGGGCTCTCCGTCGTCCTCTCCCTCTCGTCGGTCGGCGATCAAACTTTCCGGTGACGGAATAACAGATATGAAGATTTTTGTGAAAACTCTCAAAGGCTCTCACTTTGAAATTGAAGTCAAACCTGAAGATACGGTCCGTTTTTTTTTTGAACTCTTTATTTGATTATACATGAGCTGATGATATCAGCGATGTTGTTTGAATTCAGCTTGTTTTTACCATTTTTTTCGGAATTGAGGTTTGTTTTGATTTGTTGACGTGCTTTGTGATGCATAGATGTGACTGACTGTCAGTAATGACTGATTCAGTCGGTTGCTGCTCTAATTTGTTGATTAGATTCCGAGTTAGGCGATGTTGAGGTTTGAATTGAAGTGGTTTTGGTTTTGATTTGAGTTTTGAGGAGTTTCTGATTGTGTGTATTGGGTATAATTAGTGGATTCTTTTTTAAGTGTTTTGAGATTGTGCTATAGTGCTGGTGTTGCTTAGTGATTTGTTTCTTCAGGGAGGCCATTTTGTTGTCGGAAGATGCATCTATGGAAGTGTAAAGTACTTCCTCTGTTGATGTACTCTTGGAAACATATCCTGTGTGACTTGTGAGCTTGGGCTGCTTGCCAAGTTATAGCTAGTTTTAAGCCAAAGAAGAGCCTGCAATAGAATGAAGGAAGATAGTTAAATTAACAATTATTTGAATTCTAAATATTAGACGACGACGGTTGCAGAGGGTCCATGTAGGGGCAGTTGGTTTTTGATGGCGAAAGGCAACAAAAGGCGACAAGACAATGCGGTCTTTTTGAAGTGTGGCGCGAATTATACCAAAAATTTTGAAGTATTAAATTGCTTATATAGTAATAAAAATGTCTGTAGTAATAACATATTAGCAAATATTTTAATTCAAAAACTGAAAATAGAAAGTAGATACCGAAAGTCTAGAACTTGAATGAGAAAAAAACAAAACAAAGTCAAAATAAATATGAAAAAACAGAGGTAGAAGTGACTCAAAATTCTGAAGGAAGAGGAAAAAGAAATAGAAGAAGAAATCTGTGGAAGAAAAGAAGAAGAAAGAAGAACTATGTATTGGTTGGACTTTGGAGTCGCCGGAAAAGTATGGTTGGTAGCCGGAGAAGTCTAATCGAGTCAATTGGCTGGAGTCGCTGTCGCAGTCGCAGTCAAAGAGTTGCGAGAAAACCGTAAAGTCATCTTTTAACTTTTAGAATTCTAAGTTAGTAACCTTTTTTAAGAAAATACAGAAGGCGACACGTTTCTTGCCTTTGTCGCCATGGCGTCGCCTTTTGAAGATTGCCTTTCCACAAAGCTAATAGGCGATGAAGGGTCGCCTCACTTCGCCTCTCGCCATTGTGACTAGGTGATGATCGCCTTTTACAACACTGCTTCGATGAATCCTCTGAAAATTGTTGAATAGAACGGGTGGATATTTAATTTTAAAAAAATAATGGAATGGATAGATATAGACATTCATATAGCTGACTCCAATTGGTTTGGAGTTAAGTTGTTGAGCTGCTGTACTCTTGGAAACCAAAGACTGACATGGAAGGGCGTGGTTTCTTCTATCGGCAGAAAAGAAGTTTGGCTTTTGCTAATATGGTTGAAATTGCATGACATCCGGATGAAGTTGTGAAGTTTGAAACAAGGTTTTGCTAATACGGTTGAAGTTGCATGAGATCCCTTTGTAGAAATTGGAAGAATTTGGAAAACTAGCCCTCGTTAGATTATTTTGGTAAGTTGTATTTTTTGACTAGTTTCTCACTATTTAATGAAGTAACATCGGTATTTTTTCACTGCTGCAAAGAAACACAGTTGCTGGTTACAAATCAGTGTTCTGATAGTTGGTGTCAAACTATACTGTCAGCCATAGTTGCTCTTGATGTCCAACCAATAATAAGGCGTTTGGACAAATTCTTTAGGCTCAACATAAAAGTGTTTCTCAGTAATCAAGTGCTATTAGCAGGATACATTTCTATATATAGATTCAGCAAGTAGATAACAATTTACAAGTTTGTATGTAACTATGAGGTCCAACAATGAGGTACAGAATTAAATCAAAAGGTATGATAACAAAAGCAGAATGAGCAAATAATCACAGTTATTCAAGGCTGTGGCATATCAGATATCATACAATTGCCCGACTTTGGCATATGATCCTCAAATATATTTGGTCGCACTCAATAGCCATTGTGAACTTAAGCAATGTGCCTTTGCGTAGCGAGGTGTTACTATCTCAAGGGTGGATTTATGCTTTCTTCAGAGAAGTGTGTTCATCAAATGATGGTGGACAAAGTAATCTGAACCAATCATCCATTCTTTTTTACCTCCACTTTTAGTAGGGTTAGATTGACATTGACAATGTTGTATATTGGATGCAGTAGTTGGTTATTTTATTTCTAAGTTGATTTTATATTTACTAATAAATTCATTTACATTTGGTACTTTCTAATTTAATAAATTGTAAACTTCGCTGCAAAGAAGCATCCGTTCATATCTCGCTTTTGCTTCAAGCCTCATGGACCTAGCCCCCTTTTTTGCTTTTCTCACTTTTGGTAACCCTGATTACTCTCTCGCGACCAAACTTTTGGACAAGGATCTTTAGCTGGATTGAACTT